ACCTGGCATTTTCCTGCTGCTATCATGTGGTTTCTATCTGTCTATCCTATAAATATTTTCATGGCAATTTTTCTGATAATCTCTTCTCCTTGGTACCTCAATTGACTGCATGTACTTACTACTGGATTGGCAACTAGGTCTCATAGTTTTACTGTTGAACTAGTTCAGTGCAATGGTCAGTTCTATTCTAATACTTTCTTTTCTCGCACTTCTCACTTGTGGAACTCCTTCAAATGTTTTGCTTCCCTGCTACTAACAATCTTCAAAGACTTAAATGCAATGGTAATTACCATCTGCTGTTTTTATTGTTCTTTACTCTCACTGAAGTTTTCTCATTCTCTTCCACTTCCAGTAAACCCCTGTGCCATAGTGGCATTAGCACCTTGCTTGGGGTGAATCGTTTAAACTGTTATTGCTCCTCACTTGTCAGAAATTTATCAAAGAAATTAAAATATTGTGCACAGCAATTAAAAAAGGGAAAAATGAGGAAAGATAATGTGCACAAATCAATAATATATTGACATAGGTAAATATCTATAGACAGATTGCACTAAGTCCTAACAGCCAATCCTTTTTTTTATCTAAGGATTTTTTTGTTGGTGTGCTCAGCATGTTAATTTTCTTGATCAAGTGAACAGAGATAACCGGTTAGCTCATTTTATAATAATTTTTGTTTTTCCTTCATTTTTTTTCATTTGATATGATTATTGTTATACAATATTGTGATGTATACAGAAGTGTGGTTTTAGCCATATTGTTAGTAGGTTGAAAACTAGAATTAACAAAGTCAGTTCACATTGCGTTTGTTGTAGCTTAGCTTCATGATATGCAAATGCCTTTAAGAGAGATCTGAATCTAGTGTTTCTTATAAGGCAGTCGGCATAATATTTTAATTTTTATTATGTCTGTTTTCATTGCATTAATTAAATTTTTGTATCTTAAATAAGATATTCATTTAGCGATTCTTTTTATTATTATTATCTAAAATGTATTGAATGTATTAAACATATAAGGTAGATTTTCAAGAGCCAAAGTTGAAAATGACACAGGCGCATACACAAACATTTTATGGATTTATTTTTGATTTGACATTTTTATTAATTCAAACGTTATTATAGTGAATATTTGAAGTAAATGTCCAATTTTAATTTATTAAACACTGCATATTATATTTATTGGCCCATGCATTCAATAAATTTTAGCATACAAAATGTGTTCCCCTAACAAGAATTGAACCTGTATCCCCCTTTGTTGGTGAAACCACCTTTTGATCCAGTGTGCTTTAACACTCATCCATGAAGAACATGACAGCAAGCAAAGGGAAAATACAACCTGGCTTGCTGTGGCATTCTTTGTGGCAGTGAGTAAAACACACTGGTGGTTTCCTTTACAAAGGGAGATGCAAGTTCAATCCCTGCTGGGGAACACATTTTCTTTATGAAGATTTCTTGAATGCCCAGACATAATACCTACTGTTTAATAAATAAAAATGCGGTGTCTATTTCAAATAGACTGTAATAATGATAGCAGTAATAAAAATATATATATGTTTATATAATGTAAATATGTTTTTCCAGATCTTAATAAAAACATACAAAACATGTACTTTACTATTCTGAGCATTTGATGATTAGTGATACTGTGAAACATTTGGTATTAAAAATATACCAAGAAAATACCAACTACACATGTTACTAGATGTTCAAAATGGTATGCTGAGTGACTGATGTCTGTGAAAAATTTTAGTAATTCATGTGCCAGGTATATTTTAAGAAAATATGGAAACGAGTAATATTTCACTTTGTGCTTTGGTTTAGTCAAAAGGCTTACTAATATAAAATAAATATCATCAGTCTTAAGGACAATATTGTTATCATTTTGTTCGCTTTTTATTCCTTGAATTTCATTAACTGGCCTATTAAATCTACACACAAACACACATATATGTATATATGTGTGTGTTTATATATATATTTATATGAATATATGTTATATATATATATATATATACACATATATATATATATATATATATATATATATATATATATATATATATATATATATATATATATATATATATATATATATATATATATATATATATATGTATATATATATAAATATATATATATATTCATATAAAATATATATACACACACACACATATATATGTTTATATGAATATATATATATATATATATATATATATATATATATATATATATATATATATATATATATATATATATATATATATATATATATATATATATATATATATATATATATATATACACATATATATATAAAGGTGGATAGTGAGGTCAACACCTAGAAGTAACAGTCTGTTTCATGCATAAAAATATCTTCAGGCCATGAAGATTGCATTTAAGCCTGAAATGGATTAAACTGTTGACATTGACCTCAATGTCCACTTTTATAGTCAAATTCACTCTATCACTGATAATGAGCACTTTTACCCATAAATACAGCTACTTTAAAATATATATATATATATATATATATATATATATATATATATATATATAGTGAACATTGAAGTCAACACTCAAAAGACATGCTGTTTCATGCTAGACACAATCGTCAGGCCGCCTGATTGCATCTAACATGAAACAGCCAGTCGCCACTGAGTGTTGACTTCAATGTTCGCTTCCATATCTATATTTATATACACTCTATCTCTGATATTGAGCACTTTATCCCATAAATATAGAACACCTTAAAACTATATTTCTTCATATATATATATATATATATATATATATATATATATATATATATATATATATATATATATATATATATATCATTATTTTATATGTGTTGGTGATCCTGGGCTTCACGCTTTTTGCAATCATCAAACAAAGTTTGTCAGAGTTTGTCTGATGATCACAAAAGCGTGAAACCCAGGGTCACAAACTCATATCTATACAACTTATTATGTTAGCTCTATCACTGATATTGAGCACTTTCCACTAAGTACTGTGCATATACAATAAAATATACATATAATATATATACATATATATATATATATATAAGTAAGTAAGTAGTTTAAAGAGCCAGACGAACCTACCTAGCTTTCACCTATGCGGATTGTCAGAGTTTACCCTGACGATCCGCGTAGGTGAAACCAACGTAGGTTTGTCTGGCTTTTTAGGTTTACTTAGTTTGCTCTCCTTAGCATATTGAGCACTTTGCTTAGTTATTTTTACTTTACTCATGTCATAGTTTTTTTATCTTTGGACTCTGAACTTAGATTCTAGACGATTATTTTCGCTGGAACTACATGTTCTTAGTTCTTTCTTTTTTTACCCTTTTTTTTCCTTGGGTATTGGTTTGTTCATTTACAAACTAAAGCAACTGAGGTTTTGCCAGATGAGTATAGCTGCTTATATTTATAAGATTATTAGTATTTTATATATATATATATATATATATATATATATATATATATATATATATATATATATATATATATATATATATATATATGGAGCTTAGGACCTTTATTGTATCTTAGGGCTGCACTACAGAACTTTAAGGTGAGGCACAATCTGTACTTGATTGTATATAGGCCCTGACTTTGAAAGCACATAACCATTAAGATCCATTAGTTTGAAAACAAGTTAATGAACAGTCAAAAGTAATTGGTCATAGATTATTCTTATGCAACATATACTGACCTACATTTACTTATATTATTTTATTTTTATTTTATTTTTTTCACCTTCCCTAACCTCAAAAGAGAAAAGGGAAGGTAAAAGAATGAAAAATGTAATTCCTTGTTGTCATTAATTAAGGATTGCTGTCAGAATATGTGATAATCACTCTTCAGTCTTAAGAGAGTCTCAAAAGCATCCCCACGCCCTATGGGTGATGAATTATTTTCCTCCCAACAACCCCTTTTTTTTGCATGTTGCAAGCCTCCCTCTACTTTTTTACTATTTCCATGGAAAGTGCTCAGATGAAATACATTCCTTTGTTCCACCAGTTGTAACCTTCACGGCTAAGAACTGCCATGCTATGCAAACCACTTTCATTCCCTTCGTATTCCATTGGTGAGATGTGTCATTAGAGTAGCTCCTTCCCATGAACCACTGCTTTGTGAAAACGACTCCTGACAATTGTGTGATACGAGCTGTTTATCACAGGCTAAACGTTGCAAGCTTCTCACTGCTCTTTCGCTATTTCCATGGAAAGTGCTCAGACGAACTACATTCCTTGGTTCCATTAGTTCTAACCTTTACCACACCCACTGTATTGAACCACCCTATGCCCCTTTTTATACCATTGGTGAAATGTAAATTCTACTCAAGCAGCTTCTTCCCACAAACTGTTGTTTTGTGTAACTGATTCCAAAGAGGATACTTCCTTGATCACTACAATCTTAATCTGTTCAAGTTTAGGGTTAACTGTTATCCCCCCCCATATATCTGCATAAACTGTGCCTCTTACTTCGTAACCCTCTCCCTCCCTTAAGTGGTTTTTGGGCCTTGTACAGAGTGAACATCATTGTAAAAAAACAAAAAAAAAATGATAGATATGAACAGAGAAAGTGATATATAGATAATGACCAGGCTGAGATAGATAGGGGTTAGGCATGACCTCATTGATTACTTTTAAGTCTCATTAATGTTTACCCAATTCTCAAGTCACCTTCTGGCAACTTTGATGAGCAAAACAACTTCTCTTAATGACATTTGCACATGCGTACGTAATCTAACACCTTAACATTTTCCCCCTCACTTCCTTCATTTTTTCTCTCTCTCTCTCTTTTCTCTCTCCCTCCCTCACCCTCCCTCTCCCTCTCTCTCTCTCTCTTCTATGTTTCAGTTCACTTTTTCCTTTTCTTATTATTTTCATTTCCTTATACTCCCTTCTTACCATTCTTCCTCCCTCGGAGTTTTCATTTCTCATTTTTATTTATTTTATTCCCTCTTTGCTATTTTTATTTTTCCCTGCTTTTTTTTCAGTTTTCTTTCTTTCTTTCCTTTTTTTCTTTCTTTTATGCTTCTATTCCTCTTCTTTCTTTTCATTTGTTCTTTCTCTTAAATTTTTCTTTCTTTTTCTTTATTCTTTTACTCTTTCTTTCTTTCCTTCTTTCTTTTATGCTTCCATTACTCAGTTTTTTAATTTTTTCTTTCTTTGTTTTACTTTTTTCTTTTCCTTTATTCTTTTACTCTTTCTTTCTTTCTTTCTTTCTTTCTTTTTTCTTCTTTTCTTTTATGCTTTCATTACTCCTTCTTTGTTGCTTTTCATTTTTTCTCTTCTTTGTTTTACTTTTATTTATTTTTATTTCTTCCTTTCTTTCTTTCTTTCTTTCTTTCTTTCTTTCTTTTTTCTTTCTTTCTTTCTTTCCAGTAAAAGAAATCCCAGTGAAAAATTAATAATGGGTGACAATACTTCAACTAATAAAAATTCAATATGACTTTATTCATTGCTTTATGTGGCATATCCGTTCAGGGTATGGGCAATGATGGCTCTCTACAACTTCCTATCCTTTGTAGTGCTAAGTAATGTTTATTGTGTTACTATCAAACCTCCAGTCCCTGTCCTGCCATAAAAGCTTATTAGGTGGGTTACTCAGTTTTCTTCTTGTTTTCAATATTTCCTGTAAGTGTTAAATTCTCCAAGCCTTCTTTTTTTATTTTGTGTTTCAGAATGACCAATTTTCTCTTTCTGATTCTAAATAAAAATGTTCTATTTGTTTCTATTTTCCTTAAAACTTTCTCCTTTCCCTGTCCATTTTTTTATATAACAATGCCTCTGTTGCCTCAAGTCTCTTCTTCAATTGGGATGAAATTGTCCAACATTCACTGCCATATACTATTTAACAGTTCAGTACTCTTTTCTTTGTTTTTAATGAAAATTTCCTGTTTCTTAATATTTTGCTTAGCTTTTGGAAGGCATCATTCATTATTCTTGCATGCCTTTGGATTTTTATGTAACACTTCTCAGTAAACATTTGAATATCTTTACCAAATAAATCAACTTTTCCTAACAGTTCAAATAGATCATTGAGACATACCTTATCAAATGTTTTTGCATAGTCTATGAAACATTGGTATATAATTCCTGCTTTGATATTGCTCTCTCAGATATCATTCTGATAATGAATATTGCATTTCTTGTTCCAGTGTCTTTAATGAACCCATACTGTTCTAACCTTAGTTTTGATCTAACTGTGTTCACCAGAATCTGGATGATGTTAAATTATGTAATTCATTAAGCTGATTGTTCAATAAAGCTTGCCTTCATTTATACCTGGCTTCTTAAGCAGCACTATGTAGGATCTTTTAAGGATGTTTTTCTATGTTGCCACTGTTGTACATTTCATTTATTACTTCCTTAATTTTGTCAATGCTGGTAGCATCTCTGTTACAATTCCACCTGAACCTGCTGCTTTGTCTCTGATTCCTGTACGATCACCAAATTTATGCAATGTTCAGCCTTATCAGTACCTAGATGGTTAACTGCTTGGGAATACCAGGTGCTGTAAACTTGGATGTGTGGGTGGTATAATGGCTTAGAATTGGGTTGGTTATATTCACTTACATGCAAATACCTTTGGGAAAGGCAGAAATCCACCTTGACTCCCCCAGCTATGGGTTAATTAGTAAGACTTGTATCACTAAATCATTATTATCTCGAAAAAAAATCCTTGCAATCTAAAAATGTTTCTGGGCTTCAAATAACATGCAAAGGGTGGATAAGATATAAAAAATGAATGAGTCAATCAATGAAATACTGATTAGCTATACAGGCTTATATTTTAGATTTATTTACATACTCTGGAATATAAATGTATAGAAATTACCATGGCCAAAAACGGAGGGATCAGTTTATATATTGATTGTAATATAGAATTGATCCCCCACTTTATATTGACATTATTAAGTTTGTTTATCAAATTCTGATTAGGTATGAATCCACCTCTTAGTAAGACTTGTATCACCAAATCATTATCATCTCCAAAAAAAATTCTTTCATTCTAAAAATGTTTTCTGGCTTTAAATAACATGCAAAGGGTTGATAAACTGTAAAAATGAATGAATCAATCAATGTTTTGTTTTTATTCATTATGATTAGTGCTGATCTTACCTCAGATTTTAATATATCAGGTTCTTCTTTGTTTTCATGTATTGTAGGTTTCCTTATCTGGTCATGGAAGAATTTGTCAGAGTTTTCATTCCATCTTTAAAGTATTTTTCCCCCTCCTTAATTTTTATGAATCCTGTTGAAGATCTTCTCTGTTATTTCTTTTATTTGTTTATACATACCTGGTATTGAAAATATTACTGTTGTTTATTATGCAATAAAGTCTTTTTTTGCTGTTTTTTCTCACAGTGTTTCAGCTGATATATTCTTTGCCCTTCTTCAGGTATATCATACATCTAAATATTTTTTCTTGGACTTTTCAATAACAATATAGTTCATAAAAATGAGTGGCAGAATTTCTTGTTTACAGGAGAGTTTTCAGGTGAAACACAGAAAGGCTATAAATTATACTATGCTTTTTTTTTATGGAAGGCCTTAAGGGACAAATATCGTTCTGTGTACTGGTTCTTATATAATGTTAAATTTTTTTTTTTTTTTTTTTATACAGACTTTTATTTGTCTCTTAACGTAATTTTATTTCTATTATTTTGTACTTGCTTATCTCCCCACCAACACATCTATGTCACCATTTTCTTGGCTGTATCTATAATGCTTCTTTTTATGATCTTTTTGTGAAGCCCTTGTCTTTACAAAGTAAATTAGGTCCATATGTTGAATATGGCTTCTGATCTAAAGGCCATGCAGTTTACTACTTGACTTCCTTTCTTTCCCTACTTACCAAATTCTTTCATTCCTTCTTTCCACATTATTTCCTTATTTTTCAGCTGATTTTTACAAAGATATCGTTTTACTGTTTATGAGTCTTTGAGAAAATAATGCAGAAATGGAATACTCTTTGAAGCACAAATGATAGCACCAGGTCCTCAGCTAAAGTTGGACTCAGCATACAACATTTTATGGTTACGGTACCGTCTCACATAATACGTCGTTACACAGCACTGTATGAGGAAGACAGCATTGTTTCTTCACTGGCTGTACAACATATTGGGTTGTGCTACATTCACTATCTCTTGTTTGTGTCATTTTTAGGAACTTTTTACCCTTCATTATGGCTTCCAAGTGTAAGGCAGACTTATAGGTGCTTATGTAGGTGAGTTCCGACCTACATTGAAAATCGGGTTACATCGCGCCATAGGAATGGATCACCAATGTAATGGAATTTATAATATGCTACTTAAATATTTTTGTGGGTGTTTTAACAGAGGCGGGAAAATGAGGCACTGAAATTACAAAGGTGCATTAGAATAGAAAAAGTTACCTTCAAGAAGCTAAGCAAGGTACTAAGAAACAGAAAAAATTTCATTAGATACAAAGAGTGCTGATCTGCTATACAATATCATTCTTCATGTAGGGTAGTGAATTCTAGACAGTTTCCTCATGGAAGAAAAGGAGACTTTAAGTAACAAAAATATGGTTCTACAGAAGGATGCTGAGAATACCATGGATGGAGTATGTAAGTAACAAAGAAATAAAAAAGAACACATACTCAGAATCAGAAAGAGACAGCTGTAATTTCTTGAAGAGATAATGAGGAAAGAAGGCATAGAGAATTTGACAGGACAAATTGATGACAAGAGGGGCAGAGGAACACAATAAATAACTTACAGTGTAGAACTTATGGTTACATCTAGCCATTTCAACTGTAAAATGATGAGACCTTGTTGCCAATCTAGTACTGCACTTAAATTCATAAAGACTAGGTACTATAGAGGAAAGTTCATTAGAACAAGTACCATAAAAGTATTTTAGAAAATGTACAGGGAAGCTAAGTAATGAAAATTGACTAAAGATGTGGTGTCTGAGCAGGACTAATAACATTGCAGATTCTTCTTTGGATTTTATCAAGAATTTCTAATTATATTTATATAGCAGAGAGCACTAGACCAGATATAATCTTTAGTCAAAGCAGATGACTTCTTCATGTGTCGTGTTTCCACAGGAGATAGGCAATCATGGCTCTCTACAACTTCCTGTTCTTTGTAGCTCTTCATACAGTTTGTCTTTCTGTTATTTCTCCTAAACCCTGTCTTGCCATCCATTTACCCAAGCCCAATAAGTATGTCATGTGTTGTTTTCCTCTGTCTCTCTTTTCCCTTCAATCTGTCCTATGAGTATCAGATTTTCTAAGCCTTCTTTCCTCATTATGTGCCCTAGAAATCTCAACTGTCTCTTCCTGATGATAAGTATAAGTTCCTTTTTGTTTCCATTTTCTCTAAAACTTTGTTATTGCTCATGTGTTCAGTCCATGATATCCTCGGCATCCTTCTGTAGAACCACATTTCTATTACTTTCTTATCTTCATCTTTGAGGAGATTGTCCCATACACGCTGCCATATACAAGGACAGATATCACATAACAGTTTAGTACTGTTTACCTTGTTTCTAGTGAAATCTTTCTATTTCTTAGTACTCTGCTTAGATTTTGGAAGGCATCTTTGGCTATCCCAATACACCTTCAGATTTCAGTGTTGCACATTCTGTCCTCTGTTAAAACACTTCCCAGATATTGATTTGGATATCTCCAATTTACATTTCACACTTTGGGCTCATTATTTTGCTAACAACCATGCATTCCATCTTCTTGCAGTGTCAGCTGCATATCTTATGTTTTTAAGATTGCGGCTGGCAATAATGAATCCTGTTAGGGCTTCTAATTCACTCAGAATCACTTTGCTGTACAAGTCGAATAAATCTTGTAAGAAGACACATCTCCTTTTCTTTTTATGCACATATATATATATACATCTGCTGAACTCATTTTCTGTCCATTTGCAGCTGGATTGCTGCCAGTATAGCTTCTGGATTATTCTAATATCGTTTCCAAATATACCAAGGTTTCTGAGCAGTTCCAACAGATTTTTGTGACGTATTTATCAAATGCCTTTGGGTAATCTATAAAACACAGGTACATGACCTTCTGGATTTGTATTGCTCTTTCTGATAACATTCTGAGCATAAATATTGTGTTCTTTGTTTCAATGCCTTTGACGAACATACACTGTTCATGCCTTATTTCCAGTCTGATTCTGCTGTGTGCTCTATTGATCAGAATTCGGATGATAAGTTTTGTTATATGGCTCATTAGAGATAAAAGATCTTTCCATGGGATGGAAATTCTAAACTGAAAAGATTGATATCAGAAAGAAACAAACAGTAGGGAAATAAAAATGAAAGGGCGGATATTAAACAGCAAATGAAGAAAATAAAAAACTAGTTAATGCTCTGAGAAACTAACTTCTTTTGGAAATTGGAAACTAAAATAGCATATATCATGTGTTGATAGAGTAAATTAAAAAAAAAACATGATAATATCATAAAATGAAAGCCAAAACAGAAGAAATGTCCTGGTCTCAAAAATACTTCCAATCTTGACCATACCAATCTGAAGATACCAGAAGAAATAAAATATGCACCAGTATAAATTTGAGCATGACAAAGTCTACATTATTTGGACTATTGTCCTCATCTTTGTTGCCATATTTATTACAATGTTTCAGCCGTTGTACGCTCAGGCCTTCTTCAGGTGGTTGGAATGTCGAACTGAACCCTTTATTTCGCTCACTGGGGTAGACTGTTCTAGCTCCACGTGCCATGTTTAATGGATGTCAGTTATCAGTTATCTCCTGTTAATTCACCTCTCCAAATTCTCCACTGCCTTAACTGGGTATTGAACTCACACTCTTTGGGTCTGTCACTGGATCTAACACCTTTATCCACTGCACCATGTGTACTTGAATTTGAGCTCAATACCCAGTTAAGGCAATGGAGAACTTTCAGAGGGGAATTAACAATGAGCAAATAAAGGATTCAATGTACTAAAGTTAAGCTTTTCTTTCTTCTCTGGAAATCTGGCTGGCATCAGAGTGTAGCACCTGTTCTCCTTAGCTCTAATAGTAATATTAGCCATTTCCTTATAAGGAAACATTTAGAATTCATTGAGCAATCAGTGTATGTTACTTTTATTTGAAATTTATGCAGTCTTTCTATGAAAACAATTTTTCAGGAAAATAGTTTTCTCAAATTTAGTAAGTTTTATTGATTTTTCCAGTATTGGTGGCAGTTTCCTTACTAACTTTTTGTTTGAAGTAGAGTGGAACATCAACAACTTGATTATCTCATTATTTCTTTTTTGAGTTACTTGTGATATCTATTTTACTTGATGCTGCATGAAATATGGTTTTTGTTAAAGGAATTTGCAATGGTATAGCATTTTTACCAAAAAAAAGTTTACAAAATATCAGGCCTGTCTTGTTGAAAGAAATGTTCAGTTTGTGCGCCCAGGTAGAATTCTTGGTGTCTGATTGCAAATTTTCAAGACAGGCCACCCATCCCCCACCTCTTTAATACTGATACAACATAATCTTCTTACTTTCATTTCTCATCATTTGCTTTTGAAAAGCAAAGCTCAGTAAATATCTTTGGCTTCTGCATGACAGGAATGAGTTTTTAACTTGTATCAAATGATCTAGCTGAGGCACTGAAAGATTAGTGATCAGATTTCCAAATTCTCATGAAGGAAAACATCAGAGATCATAAAATGCAAGATACCTTTTCTGACATTACCACTTCTAAAAATAAAAATATCCTTAACGAACAACTCAAAGTTACCCGGATTCTGCTGCTTTGAATTTATAATTTTACTCTTCAAAAAACAAAATACATTACTGTAAAATGTCATAGGACAAAGTATAATTTATACAGGGAAAAGGGAGCATAATACTTTTTTTTTAACATAATCTTTAATACATTTACGAGGATTTTCAAGGCAAACAAATCCAATCCAATTAACACAACAGAATGTTCCTACTCTAATTTCTCATCAGTCAACCGTCTGTCTTGAGGTTGACATAGTTGCAATTTCCAATTCTTGCTAGTGTTTGAATCTACATTAAAAGCTAGGATTTCTGATTGCATATGTTTAAGAAAAGTAGATCTTTCTCAATTGATGCAGCACAATCTTGTACCTACCGTTTAACTTTCTATTTCACAATATCAGAAAGCATACATGGCATTGTAATGTGATTTTCTGTTTAACTTGGAACATATCTACAATTTTCTGTGAATCAGCACTTCTCTCGTCTATTTTAATGCAGTAGTAAAGTAATAATCTAGGATATAACAACACATGTCTATGAAATATGTTTGCATAATTAGGAACTCGAAATAACACATGGAGGACATAAATATAATACATATAATGAAACAAAATCATTTTAAGCTGCTTCTATAGTTATTGCCAGTGATGACATTAGCTTTTATATTTATTGCCAGTGATGTCATTAGATGAGATGATGAAGCATAAAATCTTGTCTCTCGGAGGCAACAGCAAATTTGGAATAAATCTTTTTTATAGGGAATAAGGTTCATATGTATGAAGCAAACAGCATAAGTTGAAACAAATTTAATATAGTGTTATGTAGTGGTTTCACAGTGGAGGCTTGTATTTGTCCTAAGTCAGTCCTAAAATAGGTTCGACTTACAAAACATTAGGAACTTGATATAATAGGCAATGACGCAGTAATCCTGTTGGGGTGGCTGATACTTTAATATCCGACTAACAGTTGTCCAACATCGACTGACTGACTGACCAACTCTCTGAGCGACTGACTTGTTACTCTTACTACTCCTATTATAGGTGGGAGAGTCTATTAACTATAGAATAGGTGTGTTCCACAATAACATATAGACTGTGTTGTAATCATGAATATGATAACTTGATGACTTTCTGGAGATAAAGATGTCATATACAAATCTATGTGTGTTTGTAGGATGTATGATAGTATCTGAAACAAAATGTTTT